TCATGTGTGTGGACAAAGCAGAGTTGACGTGTGCTTTTCGTCAGACAATCATTGTCAGTCACTGTAATGGAGGTGTTCTACGACGGTGGACTTTGCAGACTTTTTGTTAACTAGTAGTGTTTACAAGTATTGGTATCGTTTCGATTTGCGGTAACACCATGTGGAAATAACTACGGCTTAGAAGATATTTAGTTCTGAAAAGAACTTGTCCTGCTTATTATCAACTTTCGCCAAGTACTTTTTGTTCTGGTAAGAACAGTCCTGCTTTAAGTTCTAAAAGAATTTGTCTTTGGTCTCAACGTTTCGACTAGCCTGCTCTAGTCATCGTCAGGAGACTGAGTAGTGTTTACAAACAAGATCTATTTTGTGTGGACAGCTGTCAACTGTCATTAATTGAATGAGTAGTTGATAATTAGTTTTTGCCTTACCGTACTTCCGTACTTACGGTAGTGTCTGTTGTGAATGCTTGCATGGCACATTTAACCCTAACCTTCCCAAATCCTCCGAAATTCTCCTTACGTAAGTGGAGGATTTCAAAGGAATGAGGCTGTACGGCAAAAATATGTGTGGCTGATTATGGAGGGTGCATTGTGGTAAGGTCGTAGGCCGGACCTTGTGGTGGTGTTTTTTGCTGTGCCATGCATAAATTTAGGCCTAGATTATACTTGAACTCATCCGCATTGCTCCAGGATATCATTAGCATTGCCTCAGAAACCACTGGAGGATTCTGAAGGATTGAGGCAGTGGGCACCCCTCCGATGAATAAATTCAAGAAATCACGGAGGATTTTGGAGGAATGAGGCTGTATCTATTTTTTTTAATACAAGGAGGCAGTTGGAGGATTTTGGAGGATTGAGGTTGCTTCAAGGCAAAAATGCCTAGGGGTTAGGTTTTATAGCAAAACAGTGACAACTAGCTGCCCATATTTTAGCCAACCCAAACGGACAAAAAATTTAACTGGTGTAGACAAAAAATGTCTAGACTGCATTACATTTGGAGATCATGTATTCAGATCCATTACGACCCTAATGTTAAAAAAAAAGGTTCTAAATTCAATTGAAACAATGTAGAGCATAAATAGTAACAAAAACCTACTCTTAAATAAATTCTTTTTCTTTCACATTTTCGGTCAGTCTTTATCTCTATATTATATACTGCATACTTTACATATGTATATACTGTACATGCAATATGTATAGATGGTGTCGGACTATGTATATTACATTTCCAAGTTATAATGTGCATTTTTGGCTCCATTCCAACTTTGTGTTTGTTGTTTTTGTTTTGTTTTGTTTCGTGGGACTGAACAATGCTAACAACACAGCCAATTTATTTTTGTCACAACTAACAAATGGATTGAGCCACCACACACGGTTATCTGCGATATTTACAACGCACACGGCTCAACGGCCAATGTACAGTGTTCATGACAATTTTTTTTAAAATATTTTCACAAAACTTGACGATCCCTCACATGCAAATAAGTTACCTTACGGGAACTAACTCTTTTAACGGAAGACAAATAAATGCAAATGACATGCATGGCAAGAAAAGAATATCTAAAAAAACATTTCTAATAAGAAAATGTCTGTATTACAGAGGGAATATAAACATAATTTAAAATTACGTTATGGAGTCGTAACTTTTCCAAATTTGGAAACAGTTTACATAAAAAAAATGGTCATCTCATTGTTATAACAGTAAGCTGAGCCGCACACTTAAAAAGAAATCTTTTATTATCAATTAAATATAAAATCAATTTTCAAATCTTCCCAAGGTAACGCCCCCCAAAAAGTCTCTGGTTTCTGGTGTGGAGCCTGCCCCAAAAGTGGTGCGGCGACGCTTTTTTTTTTTTTTTTTGGCCCCCTTTTTTCTTCTTCAAATGTCAGCTGATGTTGCAGATGACGCTTTGATCCCCTTAAAACTCTCAAAAATATCCTTCAGAGTGGAGCTTGAGGTGACCTCAAAGGCCATAAAGCTTATACTCGATCGTAACCCCATCTAAAAACACGTGAAAATTGTGCAGCAGCAGGATTCCAGTCAAACCAGTGAGTTTGGCGGTTTTGAGACATCAACTTATATTGAAAAAAAAAAACTTTTAATTTTGCTTACGCGCACGGCTACAGCGACGTGCGCGCAGACCAGAAACCAGAGACTTTTTTGGGGGCCTAAATATGTGTTTTCTGCCTCGATCTGATGCTAATTTTTATGCCCAAGAAACACTTTTTAAGCATTTCTCTTTTTGACATTCCGTCAACATGCAGGATACAGCAGAGCCCAAAGTTATGGAATTAAACAAAACAAAATTGCTTAACAAATCCATGTGCTGTAAGCATGAGATGAGAACCAGTCCAACACATGATTTTATAAATTGTATGACATGTTGACTGGGGACCAGCAAAGCATATATACTTTCTGCGTTTAGCAAATTTCTATGCTTATTCTAAAGTTGAACCAGGAAATTGACTGGAGCGGAGTCCGAACCTGAGACCTCCAGATAACCATTCCGGTGCTCTACCAACTGAGCTATCCACCCTATTTTGTCAATGTCTTTGTTCAAGGGGTGCTAGTCAGAAGCCATAAACCCATATGCCATGTAGCCAGGGAACACATCCAAAGTCACGATGCTAGCAACATTAGCAATGCTGCAAACCCAGGAAATGGCAAATTGGGATTGCTCGGACAGAAAACGGTTTACTACTTCAAATTTTCAAATGCACCATGGAGGGAAGTAGCACTCCGCACAAAGGATAAAAATAGAAGCAAGTACCCGGATCTCAGACATGCATGCTGTAAGAACCTCTCGCGTGAAGATTACGCGCACGCTTGCAACACCGTTTCTATGCGAATGTACGCGGCCAGATGTGCATGCATTATGCGCGCGTGATTGTTCGAAAGTTTATCTTACATCCGAGGTACGGTATGTGCTATTGAATGTGCATTATAATTATTTTGAAGTTGAACAATAGGGCTTTTTGGCATGGGACGGGGTTTGAACCTCCGACCTCCGGATTGCCGTTCCTGTGCTCTACCAACTGAGCTATTAAAGTTCCACTAAAAACTCCCCTGATCTCTAATGAAATAAAACCAAGGGGCCAAATTTCAAGGGGCTAGCAAGCACGATCATTATTTGCTTAGCAGACATAAGTTACCAGCCAAAATACCATGCAATGTGTTATATCTTATGACTGGTCCCCAGCTAGTTCCTTCTCAGCACATTGATCTGCTAAGCAGTGCTTTCTGTTCAGCAGCTCTGAGGATTTTGGAACCAGTTAAATTTAGTCTCGGGATCCCAGATCAACCTATCCAAAACCGGATGCATCATCGGTCAAAGATAGCTGTCATTCTCTGGACATGAGACTGCTCAATGACAAAATAAACAAACAAACAAACAAACAAACAAAAACAACTTGGAAGTGTATACAGGACTCAATGTCATGGCGTTGTAAGCAGAAAATATACTTTGGCAAATATAGGTACTTAAAGGGAATATACATCATTTGCTTTTGCTGTAATTTTCAGAAATGGATGGAATTGGGGGGTTGGAAATATATAGCAAATATAGTTACACTAACTTTTTTGAGGTTTTGGGTTCGAAAATGCTATAAAAACCAAGAAAAACGATAATTTTCCTGTAGTCTGGTTCCCTGACTTCATATAAGAAGAAACAGAGCAGTTTACATACATTGGGGAATTGTAAGGTCAGGGAACCAGTCTAGCTGGCTCGTACCCGTTCATAGGTTTGTAATCGATTGCAAACAAGTGCAATGGTCAATTGGGGCCAGTATTTGAAAAAAAGCCAGTTGTTTCCAATGCTGATCGGCCGATCAGCGTTGGAAATTGATACAAAAATACCACTTTTCTTCAAAATGACAGTATACCAGGTGCCATAATTTTACAGGATGCTTTAGACTGTCATTTACCAACATCCTATTAAGGTATTTCGCAAAAACTTGGTAGTTTTATTTTTCGATGTTTGCAAATGTTGTATATTCCCTTTAATAAATACCAGTAGAGTGCCAATCGCGGGCATTATTTCTTTCATGACTATTTTGCTGGTAACCATGTTTTTGTTAAAACATTTTTCTGAGCTTTGCCAATTTTTGTGCTGAGGTGCTGCATCTCAACTACAGTTCCCTTTTATCAGGTTTAAAACACCTTTTTCAATACCCCTCTTTTATCATGAGTCCTGTACCCGATTTCACGAAGCGTTGCGACACGTCACAACTCGACTTGCGACAACTAACACGCCGGACGCATCGTTTAACCTTTTTCAATGCCTCTCTTGTATCATGAGTCCTGCACCCGATTTTACGAAGCGCTGTGATGCGTCACAACTCGAGTTGCGACAACTAACACGCTGTGATGCATCGTAGGGATACAACACTCGCAGTGCTGCGATTCATCATAAGTTACGATGAGTTTCATGAAACAGGGTGCAATTCACATTAAGTGGCCGTTTTGGGTATACATTTTGTTCTTTGTTCAATGAGGTGCACGCATTGAGTAGTAGCCATAATCGCAGTCGGTATCGAGCCAATCACAAGGCAGAACACAAGCAACAGGGGATGAACAATGACATAGGAATGCCTTTGTAACAACTCATTCAAATGACTTGATAAGCGACTGACAGTTTACTTTTGAGGACACAAACCTGGCAAAGTGAATAGCGGTGTCTTCATGCTGCTGCGGATATGTATTGAAGAATAATACTGGGGAAGTGTGACAGCTATGCGCAATGACTCAAAACATCTTTGGCCTACTGCCAAATTGTGGTCAGCTCTGAACGAACTACATCGAGTACAGAAGTCATCAGAATCATAGTGAACCAAAACTTTGCACAAAAATAAAAATCAAAGTTTCACTTTAACTGTGGCACATGCAAAATCATGCAAAAAGCCAAACTAAGACTGCACGAGGCCTCATCTCTCAATGCAAATTTAAAAACTCACTTGTGAAAAAAACTAATAAATAAATGTTAAAAATTGGAAATACTCTGCTACATGTACAAATAAAAAATAGTTGGTAGATGATTTTTTTTTCCTGCTGACTTCATTCAATCCTGTTCATATTTAGGCTTTAAATTCAGCTTGTTTTTAAAGCAAGGCACTTGAAATCGTTTGAAAACTTAAAATGTACAACCTTTTTGAGGAAAAGTCGATTACAAAGAAACAATCTTGTGGCAGTTTTATCGACTCACTAAGCAGCAACTGATGCATTACATTATGAATATTAACTGTCACCGGTACCCTCCCTGCTTTGGTTGTGCAGTGACACATCGGCAGTGATGACAGGTAACCGGCGTGCATTTCAAAAGTACTGCACTGTAGTGCCAAAAATGTTGAATAGCCAAGATTAAGTTAGTAGATTAAGTTAAAATGCTGCAAGTGACAGTGCTGAAAAAGATGCTATTTTCCTTGAAACAACAATAGTAGTTATAATAGTCTCACAATTTCTAAAGTTTTGTTGGCTCTCACATTAGAAAATATTGTGGTTAAAAATCCCTGTCCCCACCTGACCAAATTTAAATTGTTTACAGACGACACAGTTATACTCGAAAAATAAACGTCGACGTGTATACATTTAGAGTACGTATACATTGCACTTTTTTTAAGTCCGCACGGTGTTTGTTTGCTCTGTGCTTCAAACCTCAACTACAACACAGAAACTTGGCCTGACTGAAGTAAACAGTGATTAGCAAATTCAAACGCGAACTGGTCCTCACCAATATATTATATCACATGACTTTTTGGTTGGTAACCCAATATTTTGCTAAGTAGATATTTCCAGCGTTAAGCAAAATTCAACGCTTGACAGCAAAATGGAATTGACGCTGGATTTTTCAGACTTGATATTTCTATGAAAGCCAAAACTGTCCACAAAAATGAGAAAATCTTTTAAAACCAGTCACTGCAACTGCTCAGGAGTTACAGGGACCCAATCTCATGTTCATAAAATGTTGCTTACCACATAAACCTGGTAATCAAAAATGATTAGAACCTGTCACATGAAGTACATACCGGGTAGCCAATTCCTGCTTACCGAATTTTCCCTGTGCTCACCACTTTTAGTCTTTCCAAAAAAAGTAGCTCAGATTGTTCAACATGTCTGTTCAAAATTATCGGTATTACAAAGCGTGTATTTGCTGTGCTGAAAAATGTTAGTGGTGATTCAAACTGACAATTAAAGAGGATTGAAAGGTCCATGTCCAAATTTCTAACCCTTCATGATAACCAACGACATTGAGAGTTCTTCAACATTGTTTATTTTAAGTTAACCTTCTACACGAATTTCGGCTCTTCGCTTTAATACTGACACAAAACTAACATATGTGACCAGATTATAAAATGAGACTTCAAGAAACAGTTCTTCTTTTTCCAAGGCAGTTAAAAAAAAGCAAATTCAGTTCTTCGGTTTGATATATCACTATTTAAAATGTTGACATTCTGATGAATCTGGACATTTGGACGTGAAAACGTTGACAATTACTAATTGATACCTCAAGAGGGAGATTTTTTGTTAAGGTCTTGTAACTAAATTGTAGCTCAGATGACTTAAGACACATGTTGTTGAGTTGCGGATCACATGATTTTATACATATTTTGACACTGTGCTAAGGAGAAATGCCTATCGTGGATTTGGTCACGAGTACGCCGAGCTCAGATTGGTTGACTGGGAGATGGATCGCGTGACTCGCTTGACGAGATACGTCTTGAGTTTGCCCTTCCCCTTGACGGACACGTACCCCCTGCTCTCGCAGAAATAGCCAAACTCCATCAGGACCATGGCTGTTGGCTCGGTCACCTGTGCACGTTAGTGGTGAAATAAAAACTTGAATAAAAATTGTGCATTTACGGTGTATTGAAAATAACAGTGTGTTGGTGTCTAGTGCAATAAGCCTCTGTACTGATGACGTCACAATTTGTTTACATGTGCACTTTCCCATGGAGCCAGTGGGGGCCCACGGTCCACTGAGCACCATAGGAAAGCACACATGTAAACAAAGTGTGACGTCATCAGTACAGAGGCTTATAGTTGTGGTGATTTTAGGTGATAAAGTGAATTTGTGACTTTATTCCAAAAACTCTGAGCATCAATGGCTTTTTTCTTGTATCAACGTATGTGCTTGTGAGGGTCCCACTATGTCTTTCACCGACCTGAGCATTAGGCCAAAAAAAAAAAGTCTCCGGTTTCTGGTATGGAGCTTGCCCAAAAAGTGGTGCGGCGACGCGGCTTTTTTTTTTTTTTTTACCTGATTTGTTTGCTTCAAATGTCGGCTGATGACTGCAAATGGTGCCCGACTAAACTTAGAGCAAATATATGGGAGTCCAGAGAGGCCAGATAAAGCTTATTCTCGACCATAACCCCATCTAAAAACACGTTAAAAGTGTGCAGCTGCAGGATTCCAGTCAAACCAGTGAGTTTGGCGGTTTTGAGACATCATCTTTCATTGAAAAAAAAAAACTTTTTCATTTTGCCGACGCGCATGGCTACGGCGACGGGCGCGCATACCAGAAACCGGAGACTTTTTTTTTTTGGGCCTTACCCCATATGTCATACTAGCGGTTTCTGAGCACTAATGACATCGTGTATCACCCTATGCGTCTGTGGGTGTCTCACCCTATGTGTCTGTGGGTGTCTCGCCATGTCTGTCACCTACCTGTATCTCCCCTATCAGTCCCGTTGTGTCCATCCTACTGGCTACGTTGACCGTGTTGCCCCATATATCATACTGTGGTTTCTGAGCACCGATAACTATATCATGTGCATGTATCACCCTATGCATCTGTGGGTGTCTCGCCGTGTCTGTCACCTACCTGTATCTCCCCTATCAGTCCCGTTGTGTCCATCCTGCTGGCTACGTTGACCGTGTTGCCCCATATATCATACTGTGGTTTCTGAGCACCAATGACGCCCGCCACTACCGAACCGTGGTTGATTCCTGCAATCGTCACAAAAAATAGAGTACACTACGATGAAAATTTGTTAAAATTTGTGAAACAAAGTGAAGAATCTGGGCTTGGGCTACATCAGATCATAATGTGGGTGGGGCTATTGGCTCCGTGCACAAGTGCCCCCTCATCGGTAAGAAAGGGAGAGTTGGGGGGAGACCACTGGGAGAGACAATCAAACACACTGCTGATGATGCCTGACGCTCACGCAAAGACGCAATGGCTTTGTGCACATTCAAAATAACATTAGTTGTGCGTATTTGGCGCTTTACCATAAGCACATGTGTTGTATACCGTCCATGGGGACGACTGAACGACTGAACATTTCTCTCTACAGTTTCTTCTTCTTGGTTCTTGGTTGGTTCTTCTCCTAAATACTCCACATGGGAGTTTTAACAGGAGGCCAGAAACACCGGGGCAAACCCCTTCTCTTAGCGATAAGTGTCACTGGGTTCTTTTATGTGCATTACACAACACACAGGACCTACGGCTTTATGTCCCATCCGAAGGACGCAGCAACAATGGTAAAGTGCCTTGCCCAAGGGCACAAGTGTGCACCCGGCTTCCTAAAACCCACACCACGGTTGCCGCTGAAACACCAGAGCATGAGTCCGGTAGGCCGTGAAACTCCAAGGTTTCTTCAGGCTTGTGAACTACAGTACCGTGTGCTCTGTTTGAGGAATTCTAGGTTTCATTTACCAGAAACTAATAACAATAGCAATAATAATATGTCCATGTAGATATATCCCACCTATTCTGAGTTTGAAGTCGTTGAATGCCTGTCCGTTCAGATACTCTAGCTTGTCTTGCAGCGCCATAGCAAACTCGGTCAGCACCCCAACGTAGTACAGCGACTGCTTGGATGTGCCGCTGCTCTCATGTTGCTGCAGGCCTGCCGCTGCCATGTAGGTGCTGCCAATGGTCTTAATCTTCTCTATACAGCAATACTTGGGCTTGGATAGTAACTAGAACAGAAAAACGAGAACAATAACTAATACTGACGAGTATCAATCCTCCAACTCTCAAAGATTCTTTAAATCCACTGGGTTATTGGCTGATTGAGGATGTTACAGCAAGCTTTCAAGTATTCCTACTTGTCCCCAATTGTTTTTTTATTTTTGCCATCTCCTACATTTCCTATTGCTTCCTTGAAATTCCTACGTTTTCCTATTTTTTTATCTCATTGAATTTTTTTCATAACAGTATTACACACTGTCATATGTAAATCACACAATGAAGGGCTTGGGCGCAGGAGTACTGCAACTGTACTTCCAAGAGCTTAGTTGAGGATGGAGCACATGTGTTGTGAGTACAGAACATGCCAAATGAGGCTTATGATGCTGTGGACATGGGTCAACGAAAGCTACTCCTGAAAGTCAGCAAAAGTCCGACTTTTATCCTGATTTTTGACCTCCAAAGTCCTACTTTTGTCCTTTTTTTTGTGAGTGGAAATTTTGATTTTAGTGTTGTCCTACTTTTTCACCTGGGTCTGCTTGAAAGCATGTTACAGCCAAGCAACTTTGACGCCACATCCACTATGGCTGGCAGTAACACACTCAACTATAGCCAGTGGATTCAGCTGCCTCCATCGGTGGGTCATTCTATAAATTTTGGGTCCAAAATGTGACATTTTTTTTTCCTGTCCCTGTTACCTTGTTACTTTGTAATTTGCCATGTGAGTTTTTGCCACTGTTTCTGGCAGTGGCTGCAATATGCGCCGCAGCACCTTGTAAACCCTTATAAGGTGCTGCATAATGGGTCTCATATTTTCTCATCAACTTTATTTTACCTTTCTTTAATAATACACACAATTTCCAGCACCTTGAGTACCTAATTGTTGGTAGATACGTGCGCTATATAAGACTCCGATATTATTCTTACAAATGTATTATTAGGGAGATACGTTAGCGTAGAAAATTCGGTAGTAGGGAGACACGGGCTTAAGTGTCTCCCTATTGGCACAGCAATTTTTTATTTGTTGGGTAGGTAGTTTGCTATTCATAATCACTCTTGCAGGACGACTGAATTAAGCCGTGCATCAGAATTATAAAATCATAGATGTCAGATGTAACAGGGACAGGAAAAAAAGTGGACCCCAAATTATAGTATTTGGGATGTAGCCTTTCCTGCATAGGGCTTGATGCCCCTTGTGATGGTGGGGAAGGGTTGAGGGGGTGGGGATGCTCTGTATCACTAGACAGGGCCTCACCTCATCAAAATCAGCGATGATCTCGTTGAGTAGTCGCAGGCACTCCAGGCCCTCGTTGTTCACGTCGCTCTCCGTGTAGAACTCCTTGAAGTTGGGTATGGATGCAAACATGACGGCGACAACGTTGTAAAACTGATGGTATAACTCCTGTGCAAAAAAAAACCAAACCAAAGGTTGAAAAATTAATCAAAGAACTCAATTAAATTTGGTACAAATATTACTGATGTGTACAATGAGCAGTCACAGACAACACTAAAAGGATAATTTGTTAAAATGCAAAGACACCTGCCATTTTTTTGTTGTAGAAAGCACCGTAACAATGAAGCTATGTATCAAAAGAAGAAATAAATTATCCTTCATTAAAGGGCATATACAACATTTGCTTTTGCTGTAATTTTCAGAAATGGCTGGATTTGGGGGTTAGTATTTTATAGAAAATATTTTTACACTGACTTGTTTGAAGGTTTGCGTTCGTAGACGCTGAAAAAAAACAAAACAAGAAAAACATCATGTTCCTGTAGTCTGGTTCCCTGATCCCACTTGAGATGAAACGGGGCAATTTATAGACGTCGGGAATTGTAAGGTCAGGGAACCAGTCTAGCTGGCTTGTACCTGTTCATAGGTGTGTAATCGATTGCGAACAAAATGTGGACCAACTAAATTGTGTAACTTGAGGCAGTATATAAAAAAGCCAGTTTTATTCCAACGATGGTCGGCTGACCACCACTGGAGATTAAAACAAAAATTACACCTTTCTTAAAAATGTCAGCACACCAGGTGCCATGATCTTACAGGATGCTTTAGACTGTCATTCACCAACAGTCCAGTTTGGTATTTTGTAATAACTTGCTAGTTTTGTTTTTTGATGTTGGTAACGTTGTATATTGCCTTTAACGATACTTGAATGGCAAATTAGAAAGTACCAAGTCAACAGGTACAGGAAAAATGTCACACTATGGACCCTCAGTTTATAGAATGACCCAGATACTCACGTCCGATTTCATCCTCTGTTTCATGAAGTGTTGAGCGACGTGAGCCGGCAGCATGTTCTCTAGCAGCACCTTGTTGAGGGATTCCATCGTCTCGACTTCCTCCCTCTCGACTTTGAATTTCATCTGCCACAGGAAGCCTTGCCTCGATAAATATTCATTCTGTCAGTCAAAAACAGAGAAAGGAGAAACCGGTAATAATACAAAAACGATGGCTATTTATGTAGCGCTTTCATCTTGGATACCGTAATTACATTGGTCTAGAACGTCCATGTGTCCAATCTAAACACCGCAAAAGAAGAAAGTCCACCCTCATCGGAGGGGTCATCATTTTGAATCTGATTGTCTTATGATGACGTCATTTATATAGACCTTTGGGAAATGTTGTTAGCTACATTTTGACTGTAAATCGTCCATTTTTCATAAACCATTGTCAATATTGGACGATTTACAGTCTTTGGTAGTAATAATAATAATTTGGGAGCCTAATCATCCTTACTCGCAGCTGGGATGCTGAATTGCAAAGGACGCGGCTACAACGTGGTCAGGCCGCTGGCACGTAAAGGCACCTACGGCTGCCGGCCACATCGACCCATAATGACCACGGAGCACAGCCTGAGATCGAAAGTGTTTGATTTTTCCGGAGGGAGGAAAACCGGAGGGCCCAGAGAAAAACCCTCGTGGCACAGGAGAGAACCAACGCACAACTCTACTCACATGTGGTCCGCGGCCAGGATTCGAACCGTGGTCTCCTTGGTGAGAGGCGAGCGCTTTACGCACAAGCCACCCATGCCACCCTAGCAAACGGCAGTATCAAAACGGGGTAGCAAACGCGGTATGCAGTATCAAAACGGGGTAGCAAACGGGGTAGCAAAATGTAGCTAACAAAATCCCCAAAGGTCTATATAAATGAAATCATCATAAGACGATAAGACTAAAAATTATGACCCCTTCCAATGAGTGTGGACTTTCTCTTTTTTTGCAGTGTTTATAAAAATGACTGTTTACTTTAATATAATTGAACAAACTTTTGGCCGGTGACCTGGTTTACTTCAGTGCACTGACCTGTCTGGTCACCAGGAAGAGAGTGAACAACATAAGGAGTAGTTCCACGGTTGCCATGACGCGAAGTGGTATGTGCGCTATGTTACCGATGACACTGCACATGAGAAACAAAAAATTGTTGACTGTCATATAATTAAATCACACTCTCCTGAAAAATCAAATAAACAGGGCGAGTCAAAAAAAGGAGACCCAAATGGCAGGACCAATTATTTATTGAAGTTCTGAATGTGGCGCTTTCAAAATCTAGGATATGAAAGCCCTATTCATAATCTTTCTTTTAGTACAAGAATCATTCAAATCACTCATGTACTTTTTATAGGGATATATGTGAATTTTTTTCGTTTTGCTGAAAGAACACTTACCTTTTCTGTGATCCTTGGACAGAAGTTTGAAACGGTGTCTGTGTTTAAAATTCCGTAACTTGAAAAGTACATGAGTGTTTTGAATGATTCTTGTACTAAAAGAAAGCTTATTAATTGGGCTTTCATATCCTAGATTTTGAAAGTGCTACATGCAGAACTTTATTTGAAAAAACAGTCCTGACATTTGGGTTTCCTTATTTTGAATCGCCCTGTATTTGATTTCTTGATGCTTACATTCCAGAAAATTGCAAGGTTAAAAATGTGCTGTCCGTGTTCTTCAACAAATTCAATTTGTCACTTCTAACAATTTTGACCTTTGTTGTATATAAAAGAAAATATTTCTTCTATTTGGCTGTCTGAAATATACTGAAAACAAACTTTCATGCTCAATACTTAAGAAGGGCTTTAATTTTGGGCTATTTTTGCCCCCAAACAGAACCGCACTGCGAATAGACTGGTTCTCAGTCCCTACATTACCAATAATGAAAGGCGGCAGGAATCAGTCCACCCTGCCAGAATTGATTTTTTGTCGGGCTGCATATAATTTGAAAGTTGAAATGTAACTTTTGTTTGATCTTTTTAATAAAAGAAAACTGGTAAGCACTAAAATCAAGGCCAAAACATTTTTTGCCCTAGCATGACAGTAGAAAATGTGTACAAAAATGTTTCGGTATTTCAAAACGGCTCACCCTTGACTGACGTAGACAGCATTATCCCAGTTGTCGAAGACGACTGCATGGGTGTAGTTGAAGATGAGACAATACGCACCGAAGCCAATCAGCATCATGAGGAGTTTGATGCAGTAGCCTAGTTGGAGGAACATGACGCAGCCGAGCATGGCTAGGAGACAACTCCTGGCAAGGTACTGGAGGGAGAGAAGCAACACAAGCAAGACGTAAGCAAAGATAGTGGCATGAGAAACATGCCGCAACCCATCAGCCCATTTCACAAAACATTATGTAATATGGTTTTACAATTACGCCACATTTCATTGCATACGTTGCACAACTTTTCACATGGCTATGGTCAAGGTGTTAGAGGATAGTATTGGTGGACGATTGACCACCACGACTGACAAATCAGATTGCTCAACGCAATGACCGTCATACTTACAGCGGGGGCTTTGCAAGCAAACTGGCCCGTGTCGGTTAGGTTACCGGTACCGTCAGATACCGAGAGCGCCGACTCGTAGTCGTAGACGGTGGACACTGTGAGAGAGCCAGGCTGTGTCTCACACACTGACTGGAATCAAAGAAAGAAGGAAAACAGAGCATTCGGGATCACTCTTGGAAAAAAAACGAAGAATAAAATTGTAGTTATAAACGATCTTAACCAGTTCGTGATAACACGCACTGGCTGTATCTGTACACTGGCACGGCTGACGGGTTAAAATGTCAAGATTGCCTCGACTCGCCTCTGGGTGACGTCTAAACACGCTTATCCCTTGTGTCTTTTGTACACACACAAAGTCTGTGAAGTCTGTGGAGGCAGACCGTGTGTTGATCTTGAATTGGCCGTTGTGCACAGCCTACATTTATGCTCCAGTGCACACCCCGGAGCATTGAAACATTTTAGGTTTCGGCAAAAAGTGTACAAATACTGTTGAAGAGACTCTCAGCAACCAGTATTTGTTGCGTTTGGCTGTTTATCAGAAGTTGGCTGGAAAATTGTGTCTTTTGCGAAAATCAAAATTTTCGGCGAAAATAATCCTGACGTAAAGTCGTTAATAATTCAAATAATGCTCTTACACACCCCCACCCACACCCTCAAAAATGAAATTGAAAAGCAGGCAAAATGAATCAGCGGTATATATTTATCTAACAGACCAAGTCACAGTACATATGACAGCAATCGATAGGCAACAAAGCTGTACGCATAGAGCAGCCACAGTACAGACATACGGTGAAAAGGACCGAGTGTCAAACGGGGTAATACATGTACTTACCACACTGATAACGGAGACGGTGTACAGGACAGCCATAGTCAGGAAGGATAGAATCATCCGCATCCAGCTTCGTCTCGTGACCAGCTTAGCCAGCCAGCCAATGGCGAGCTTGCGAACACACTGTTGCAAAATAATATCAACCAAAGAAAACCAACAAAAAATGAATCTCAAATTTCACAATACTTACTCCCTCGGGAGTTTACAGCTCGATGCTGCAATTTAGACGCAAAGCAGCTAAAATCAACCACAATAACCATCTCTGCCTTCACAGGAACCCATTTACTCCTGGGTGGAGAGAAGCAATGAGTCACAAAGTGCCTTGCCCAAGGGCACACGTGCCATGACCCCAGGCTGGACTCAAACCCACAACCTGCAGAATTACCCGCAGACCACGAATTCAATGCAGACCACGAGGCCACAGCATATTCTAACCACTGGACCATAGTGTTTAAGACGGTTTAAGAGACTGCATTTATTTTACCGTTAACATCAATTTCCTTTTCAACTTAGTCATAATCACAATATCCCTCACCTTAACTTGTTCAGCCATGCCGATGAACAGCACAAAGAGAAGCACCATAAAGGCAACACTGAAGGCGACCAGCATCAGTATACCACGTGGTTGGGTTAGCAACTCACATATTAGAATAACCAGGAAGGTCAAAACCACACAGGCCATGTAATACTTGAAGGACGGGTCCCGTGAACAGGCAAACTGAAAAGAAAAGTTATTCCATAGACGTAATAAATAAAAGGATCAAAAGAAACCTACAAAATTATTATCAAAAACCTTACTTGGATTACGATTGTACTGGTACTAAACATCTCATGACATTATTCCGTCTGGCTTGCTGCCATTTAGAAGAAATGTAGGTGATTTCCAACGATCAGTCAATTGGAATAAAAGAGTGCTATTGACAAAATCTTGTTTTGTGATCAAAAGGTTGTGCATGGTTTTCTGCTGTTTCTCGAAAAGTATAATATCCACTGAGCTGAAACTTCAACAGGTTAGGTTTTGAACATTCGTTATTGGATTGTGAGTGGTGTTATTATTGGAAACGAACAAATGCATTAAAAGCAAACGATTATGTATGCCTTTAATCATGAAGTGGATAAGGAAAACAATAAAGGTAAAATCTTGAAAACTGCAAAAGCACTTTTTTTGAATCTGGGAGTAAAGTTGTCTCAATATAGCCCACTTTTTCTGACTTTGTAAAGTAAGTTGGCTGAACCCTCGACCTAGGGAATACAATATGGGTGCTCTACCAACTGAGCTGTCCAGTATATAAAAAGCCTTAAAAAAATTGTTTATGTAATCGTTGATCTTTTAAAAATGTCTAAACAGAATTCATGAAACATGTACATGCTGCGTGGCTAGGTACATGGGACCCATAGAGCTATATTAAATTACTAGAGCACTAACTCCTCATTCTTGCGTGCAGAGACGCTTTGAAGCCGTCCTGGGCGCAGACATTTTGAATTCATGTGCGTGTTTGTAGAACATTATGAAATTAGATGGATTGAATTTTGAAAGTGTACTCTACATGCAACGCGCAAGTAGAACATACGCAAACAACTTCAACGCGTCAAGACAGTTCGAAAAATGTCATGGCAAAATGCATCTGCAGCGAATACGCGCACGCGTTGCGCTGTTTGCGTAGAGAAAAAAGAAACGCTCATTTGCTGATCGTGCGTTTCGGTGTTAGGCGTATCGGCTTCGATGACGCACCGGTATGGAATACAAACGCAGATATGCAAATAGCTGTACAAAAGCTGTACAAAATTTCGAGTTTTCCATAGGTTTGTGTACAAACATGGATGCGCCCATCAGGCATCTCTTTGTACATCGAGTTAGCGCTCTAGTAATTTAATATAGCTCTATGGTGGGACCCTAGTATTCATTGCTCTGCTAACCACCGAATTTGGAGCTTGTGATTGACATTTTGAGCATACAGGACTCGGAAAGAAGTCCTGGGTAATTCTTTAGGCCTGAAAGCTCAAAATCCTTACTGGAAGTGCACAAATTTCCCAAGAGTACCGACCTTCTTCTCGAAGCTCGCTTTGCGGAAGAACATGGTTCCTCGGTGGAAATCGTCGGACCGTGACCAAGGCCTGTCAGAGGAAAAATAGAGAGAGAAATCACAAACCAAATCCCTTAAAGGTAGAGTAGATCATTTGCAGCTATCTAAAAAGTAACTGACGAAATTGTTGTTGAAAGCTTACTTGGTTTAATGATAGTAATGGCACTAAAACTCCCTGTGAAATTATTCCTTCTGGCATGCTGTCATTTTTAAGAAAACAACAAAAGAAGGCCATTTCCAATGATGCGCCAAGTGGCGCATTTTTGAAAATTTTCGTTAGTAGTTGGTTTGTAATTCGGCAAATCTGTGAATGGGTGCGTGCAAGCATTGACATGTCGCACACGCGAGCGGTTGCTATTATTCTTGGTTCAGTGCGTGACATCGCGTAGCTGCAATGGGCTGAATGAGAACGTGTCCCAGACAGTGATTTCGGGTGCAATTCAAAACATGGCTCAACAACTTTTGAATTGAAAAATCAAGATCCTAGAATATTGTTTTTTCAGAATATGGAGCATTCACTGAGCTAAAACTTCTTCAGATTTGTTGTCAAGCACCCGTCTTTACATTTTGAGCACTTTTGTTGCTTTAAACGAAAAAATGCACAAATGACAAATGATCTACCTTTAAATGAAACGAAAAATTAAACACTAAAAAAAATGATGTAGTTGTTCGTTTTACCCAAATGTTTGATGTAGTAGTATGTGTTTTAGCAGCAGTGTCCTGTTATTATATTTTGTCATCAACTCTGACTTTCAAATAACTGACAGCAGTGACCTTTGAACCTTGACCTTAGATGACTGATAAACTTACTTCTCTGTGTTGATGGACTCGATGGCTTGCAACATCCTCTCATTCACCCGTCGGTCGTATACAACTGACTGCTTCTTCATTCTACAACCATAAAAGTAAAGAAGCAGCAATCCGTACATTAACTAGTGCTTCAAACAAGGAGAACTTATTCTCCATGAGGCAATTCTTTAAACTTAAACGTTAAAATTAAGCGACTCTTCTCTTACAAAGTTGAAGAAAAGATGAGAACTTGTCTGAAATGTTGTAGGAAATATGTTCAATGCAGAATAAAGGTTAAACTTCAGGGGACCCTAAACACTATAGCCTCAGCAGCAGTTTGGCCATACTTCATGATCTAGCTGTGGCACTATCCAATGCACACTATGTGCATGCTTATACACAGTTATGGTGACGCTAAAAAATCACTCAGAAACTAGAAAAATGCCAAAATGCTAAAGGGGTAAGTATTGAGGATCTTCTAAAACTTCAGTGGACCAGTGACCGAATCTGATGTAATTTACCTTGTGCTATGGTCGAGTGGAGTAAACGGAAACAAACAGCTGTTGACTGCATAGATACCCTGTGGAAAAAAAGCAGATAATTTTTGACATGTTTTATAAATGATGAACTTGACCAAAGAACCAAATAGTTGAAAAGCTGAGCTTCAGTAATATTATCCAGAATCTTTCAATCATTTCCAATGCAAAAAAAGACTTTCTTAACATTAAACTTTAACTTGACTTAATTTGAAAATTGACACTCAAATTATACAGCAAAATTACATTGTCATTAAGTTTATGACTGCCTTTGAAAATGGTCCACGGCTCCACTCACCGTTACACCGACAGTCTTGGGCAACTGGACCTTCTCAAGGTTTGCAAACGGCTTGTCCGCACCCCAGCTCTCCAAGTAGTGCGCGATTTTCTTGGAAGGACGCCCTCTACCTTCCTGGACGTTGTTCTCCGAGTCGAGGATGTCCTCTTTCCTGGACTGTTGGGAGAGAGAACGATTATCAATCAACTTTGTGTCTTGAGACAAATTCAGTCAAAAAGACAGCGATTAAAGATGTATTTAGCATTTTTTAAAACTATTTTTTGGTTTCACCCTGAAATATAGATTTTCTTTTAAAATTATTTTTCTAGTAATACCAAGTTTTTCACTTATGAATTAGACATCAAGAAACTGTCCCAGCTTCCAAAACAAATCTGATGTGGGTGCACATACACATGACATGCACAATATGGGAGTCAGGTTGGCGCAGCGGTTAGTTTCCTTCCACCGATAAGGCCCGGGTTCGATTCCTGCCCTGGTCCACATGTGGATTGGATTTTCAGTCCCTACCTGATTCCGTGGGTTTTACCCAGAATAGAATATTCTTCTGGGCTTTTCCTCCCACCTCTAAAACTGTAATTTCTTCTCATTGTCTCCTCTCTACAGGTTTCTTCAGGCTTGCGAGCTATAGTGCCTAGGGCACTTTGAGGAATCCTTGGTTTCAGTACCAGAAAGAAATAAAATAAATAAAATATGCAATGTGGTATTGGAAAGGTACACAAGAAGTTGCCCATGTGTCGGGTAGGCAGGGCTTAAAGGGAATGTACAACATTTGCTTTTGCTGCAATTTTCAGAAATAAATGGATTTGGAGGATTAGTATGCTATAGAAAATATTGTTAAACCGACTTGCTTCACGTTTGGGTTCGGAGATGCTGGAAAATCCAAGAAAACCAACCATGTTCTTGTAGTCTGGTTCCCTGACCCCACTAAAGATGAAACGGAACAATGTATAGACTTTGGGGAATCGTAAGGTCAGAGAATCAGTCTAGCAGGCTTGTACCCATTCACAGGTGTGTAATCAATTGCCAAGGAAATGCGGAATAACTAAATATGAAAAAGTAGAAGTTTTTGAGGAAAAAAAAGCCAGTTTTCTCCAACGCTGGTCGGCTGACCAGCGCTGGAAAAATACAGGTTTTCTTGAATAAGTCAGCAAACCAGGAGCTCCGATTTTACAGGATGCTTTGGACAGTCATTCCATAACAAGCCAGTAAGATATTTTGTGATAATTTGATCATTTCGTTTTTTTGATGTTTGCAAATGTTGTATCTTCTCTTTAATGGATCGGTGCTATTTGCCATGCATCCAGAACACGTTTCTACACACAACTACCTTTCAAACCCTTAAGATGAGAATGTCTGATATTCTGGCCACTCAGGCTATCAGCAGTATTCTACCTCTAGACTGACAATCTTGCAATGCTGTTTCATTCTGTTTACTCAGGCTATAGTTCCACAATCCTACCTTTGGGTCAACAATGAAGAATGTTTCTATGTTCTGTTCGCTCAGGTAGTCGCTGCGTTGCTGGCCGTGGGCCGGTTCCACGTCATACTTGCCGTTCAGATTATCTAGCGTTGCCTGGGTGATGTGAACTCTTCTACAATGACAAGAACCAGGAAAAGAAATAAAAAATGACTGTTCAGTACTTCAAAAGGGCAATGCAGAAAAGTCTGATGACCCTTTACCTCCCATAGCCTTCAAAATCAACGACGACGTTTTGAAGGATTTTATAGGATTTAGGAAGTTAAAGCTCAGCGACTGTAAATTTACATGGAACCTGTTTAGACTTGAGTCATTTTGTTGTTTTATATATTCAAAGGAGGTTGGGCCCATGATGAAAGGTTCCTAGCAAAACATGGCGTTAAAATTTCTTTTCTAAATTGTTATTTTTTCTAGCAATACAAAAGTTATTTAATTCTGAATGAGCCATCAACCCAAAAAAATTGTCCCAGGTTTAGTTACTGAATTATTACATAAACAAATTTTGAATTATTGGCTGCCAGACAATAATTCCCTTCTCGCGGGTTAGGCTGGTCCCCACCCCACAATCAGCATCGATAGTGTATGGACCGAGGGCCAGTCTGCTCGCAAAGCGAATCTGTTTGTGCCCAAAACAAAAACCGATTTTCTGATGGTTGCAGACGTCCTCAAAAGGCAGAAAGATTTCTTATTAAATGGAGAAAAAAAAAAATCAAATTTGTGAAATAGCATGGGAATTTTATGCAACTTGAAATAGGGAACAGCAATATAGCCCATGCACCCCTCCCCTACCAAGGCAGAAGGATTGTTTTATGTTGTTCACAGAAAATATTGTCAACATTTAGTAAAAATTATCCCCAGAGTCAAATAGTTTTCATCCACAAAAACAATTCAAGTCTTACCCCGGTTCGCCGCAGCTCTCCATGTGATTGGCTAGATTGACGTCATGTGACCAGACATCGTACTGCCATTTCTTGAGTCCGAGTACGCCGCAGAGCACGTTGCCGGTGTGCACCCCGACTCTCATGTTGACATTGACGCCAGTGGCTTCCTTGACCGTTCTAAAGAGAAAAAAAAAACAATGTGAAAGCAATTAGATGTCTGCCAAGACATGCAGCCGACCCTAGCAAGCTTGGTGATAGCGTGGTTAAGACATCTGGGCCCAATTTCACGGTGCTGCTTAACAGTTAGCAGAAAAGTTGTGCTTAGCATAGCAGAAAAAAATGTGCTAACCTTAAGCACTATTTCACGGCATGGACGTGCTTACGATCGCGCGTGCATGGAGATATCTATTGTTACATCACTATTTAAAGTTAAGAAAATTTTTCCTCTGAGGTAAGCATGCCTTTTGCTGTGCTTATGCTCACGGTCTCCGGCCCATGAAATAGACAGAGGCTCTGTTAGCAGAAAATTGTGTGCTTAGCAGTGCTGTGGAATTGCTCCCTGTACTTGAAAGCAGGGCCCAATTTCCTGCTTACTATAGCAGAAAATTCCGTGCTCACGGTAAGCGTATTTCACGCGTTAGCGAGGAATTTTGGCTTATGGGCATGCGAACATCCCGTAGCTAAGGATTCTGTGCTTACGGGTTATAGCTAGAGCGGTTAGCACAAAATGGTGAGCGTAAGCGCGGAATTCTGTGGATAGCAGAAATTGGGCTCAGGAGGTTTGGGGTTTGAGTCCCACCTGAACATTAAACTTGTGAATTTGTCTCACAGGCTCTTGAAAAAAAAAAATCAGACAACTTTTTGCCAGTTAAATTCAAAGACAGGCCCACATAGCTTTCAGGCTGAAATCCTTACTACAGTGCACTGCTTACCGCGCTAGTGAAAAATCCTAGCTTACTGTCAACTGTAGCAGAACATTCTTTGCTTATTGTAAATGTATTTTACGGGTTAGCAAGAAAATTAGCGCTGAATTTGTTCTGCTTAAGCGCTGTTAATGTGAGCGTGATCACAGAATTCTGTGGTTAGCAGCGACATGAAATTGGGCCCAGATGTGTACATAATCAGGTCAACAAGAAGTCAACCTACAGTCAAATGTGTCAGTCAATCACAAGTAAAAAGTCACTCTCAAGCCTATCACAATTCCATCGTAAAGGTCAATCAAAACTCACAGGGCGGAAAAAAATACAGAAAAGCAGATGTAACAAGTCAGTAGATAAGCTTTTCAATTAGCTTGAGACTGTGATTGATAATTTCAAAATATGATGGCTATGGACAACTTGATTATAGCTCTGCCATTCCAGTTTGAAAGATTCAAAGTACACTGCTACAGAAATTAAAAGGAATGACATAATACCAGCAAGAGGCTTAAACAAACATGCAACATATGTGAGGCGTTCTGGAAAACATAAAACAGAAGTGGGCAGAGGTCAAAATGAGGGTTTGCGGGTATTATTTTAGGAAAGAGAATAAAATTCTCCTTAAAATACTGTTTGTTGCACTTCAATCGGACATTCCGTTGACAAGTTATGGCTGTTTAAAGTTCACATTTATCGACATGCAAAAAGTAAATCACTGAGAAAAGGGCCTTTAAGTTTCGAGTTTTGTTGTAGTGAAAATGAAAGATGCCAATTGTTTTTCCCTAAACAAAAAATTCTTTAAAATTTGTGTAGGAGACATATCAAAGATTACAAATATCAATAAATGTGAAAAAAAATTCTTCATTTTGCTCCACTACAATATCATTGTTTCTGTCAATTAGACTATCACAGCCCACTGTACCATCAACTTTAACTTCTCATTAATAATTCAATCTTCACATTTAGAATTAATTAAATATTTCATTGGCAAACTCTCACAAAGCCTTAGTCTCCAAAAAGGTCACAGTCATCGAGTAAGGCAAACAAAACGTGAGAGACTTGACTGGACACGCGATGCATACAGCGTGACCAATCAGAAATGGGCGTCCACCGTGACCGATGAAGTTTGCTCGAAGGCTCGGTAATTAACTATACACTGTCACGGGGCATCAACTGTTCTAATCAAAAACCATTGGAGCCTGCTCAATGGACATGAGCTGTGGCTTGATAGGGGCTAAACTGCTTATCCCACACTATGTAAGGATGCACCCATCAATGTACACAAAGCTGTGAAGCCATCGCAAGTTACTTTCTGGGCTCCCAACATGGTCGCTGCTATGTTTATGGCCCACAGACAATGACAGAGTAAACTGATGATGTACATATATACAGAGATCAGTTTATACAATACAGTGCATATATTTTGGGCTCCCAAAATGGCGCCTCAGCGAATTCAGCCGTTGATCGTGAAGCACTACCCTGAAAGATCAGTGCGCTAAACATCGCATGTTAACCAGCTAAGCGTCTCTCAAATACTAAAAAGAGCACCCTGTCTTGTTCACAGAATTCATGAGAATAAAGGATTTCGTTCTGCCTCCAGCACTCTTAAAAATAATCACTTCGAAATCTCTCTATTGGGAGTGGGTATTTCCGTACTTTCTGCCTGACTGCGACTTTTTAGCTCAGGGCTATTGAGGTTTATATATACCCTCTCCAGTGCTCCCTGAACGAGGGGCAATCACTTTGAAGCTTCGATCGTGCTTGAGGGTGTACACGTATCAACAGCACGATGCTACCGTGGAGACAAGCACGTCCTCACAGGACTCATCAACCGCAAGAACATGAATTTTGACAAAACTGTCCGTAGCCCGAGAATGTAAATATTACATGCACAATGATTAGTACCATAGGCAAACTGCTACAGGTCTTGAGAGTACACATTCAGACATGTGTTGCTTTCCCAAACAGCAGAATCGCGCAGTTCGCCAAATTGCAATATTTAAAAAAATTAATTGCTTGAGCATTCCAGTGGTCATGCAAGAACAGGCTTGTGCATTTTAGAAGAATTTACGTCATTGAAACAATCATATTGGACATGTCATTTTTTAAATCTCCTTCTTTTTATATTTGACGTGGAATTTCTCAGGATCTTGCCACTTTCTAGAACTTTGCTAAAGGTTCCCAGTTTTTTCCACGGAATAAAAAAAGTTCCTTTTCACACCAAAGTCACCTTCCTCTCCTTCCACCGCTGTGACCCGGGTTCGAATCCTGCCCGAGCCAACATGTGTATTGGATTTTCAGTCCCTACTTGATTCCATGGGTTTTCCTCTGAATACTTTTCCCGGCTTTTCCTCCCACCTCTAAACTGTCATTTCTTCACATTGTCTTCCCATTACTGAAACCCCGGAGATCAGGGGATTCCATGAATGGGCTACCCAGTTAAAATAAGAAATAAATAAACAAATAAATTACATAATATATTCCTATGGTCAGCGTTTCATTTGAGAAAATTAAACGAGAATTTCGCGACAGAAACTTATGAAGTGTGGCATGCCAATATTAGCTGCTCCGTACATGTACATGCACAACGCTCTTCAGAAAACACAGGCTGACATGCAAGTGGCAATTACACATTACCAAGGCTTTAATGACATCTTATACTCTTCGCCAAGAGGACAGGAGCGAGTCGTATTACAACTTACAATTACAAAATGCTAATACTTGGGTTTGCCGTACAATGAGAGACTATCATTTTGGAGGACATCCGTAAAGAAAAAATAACAAAGATGGTAACCGAAGATAGCGCCGCAGGTAAATGTAGCAGGAGAGACACTGTCCGCCTAGAATGAATATAATGACGGCAGGCTGTTTGTTCTGGATTAAAGGCAACTCTTGTCGCGCCTACGGTAAAAGTTGTCAATGAAACTCTGTCAACACATCAATCATGATTGTTTTACCTTTATTTCAGAGTGGGAGTGTGGCCAAGTGGTTAGGGTTTGAGACTCATGATCAGAGGGCAAGGGGTTCGAATCCAGCTGCTGCCGTATGTTGTGTTCTTGGGCAAGACACTTTACACCCACTTGCCTCTTTCCAACCCAGGACTATAAGCGGGTACTGGCATAAGCTGCTGGAGAGAAACCGCGGGTCGTGATCGAGTAATACAAGTGGAGTGCTGTGGCCTCGTGTTTAAAGGCACTGGATTCGTGGTCTGTGGGTAAAGCTGCGGGTTGTGGGTTCGAGTCCAGCCGGGGTCATGGTGCGTGTGCCCTCGAGCAAGGCACTTTGTAACTCATTGCTTCTCTCCACCCAGGAGTAAATGGGTACCTGTGAGGGCAGAGATGGTTATTGTGACTGAATAAGCTTGCTTGCGCCTAACAGGCAGCATCAAGCTGTATACTCCCCAGGGAGCTGAGATGGTATTTGGAATGTTTAATTGGCCCAATGATCAGTGGTAATAATAATACTGTAAGCGCTGTGATTTAGTGTACTAATAAGAGCGTTCTTAAATGCCGATTATTATAATACAAGTGCAGATGCTCCGTACAATAAGCACAGTGGAATGTTAACAATCTCTCATGGTAACTGTTGACAATAGTTAGTCCAATGCGAACGCGACTTATAACTGACTAATGTTGCAGTGTAAACTTCCCCCAAGGAAAACAGATATTATCCGAGAATGAATACGTGAACAAACACAATGGTAATGAGGTAACATGACACACTTGCATCCTTAATTTCTCCTTAAAATATTGTTTGTTGCACTTCAATCGGACGTTCCATTGATAAGTTATGGCTGTTTAAATTTCACTTTCATTGACATGTCAAACAAAGTAATATACTGAGAAAAAAGGCCTTTAAAAGTATCGAGTTTTGTATTTGTGAAAATGACAGATGCCAATTGTTCTTCCGTAAAAAAATATATATATATTCCACAATTTTTATCCTATTTCGTTTAAACTATAGTAGACACGTCTAAGATTACAAATATCAATAAATCAGAAAATCGGGAAAAAAATCAGCCCGATTTGGGTTTTGCATTTTTTCTTCACTACAGCCTGTGCCCAATTCCGTCTCATTTTATAGCAAGAACACCTCACAAATGACACTATGTACAGTAAATATTATCATCAACAATGCCCCAAGCATTAAAACGAGGTCCACCCCCCCCCCCCCCCTTCTCGTAGAATTTTCCATGGCTCATCAAAATACAAAATCACGGATGAATCCTTCTCAGAGACAGATCCTGGGTTCATCCCCGCCCAGTACAACTAAAAAGCTAACGTCTGAAATCTACCGGCTTATATGACAAGAACAAACATGGACTGGCGGCGGAACGCAAGGCCGGGCCTGACTGCAGGGCATTTTACAGGGGAGAATTGGCCAACTGATGCATGGGAAATTGAATCGCCATCGTGTTTGTGCTTGCAATTAATTCCAAAGGGGGATTTGAATTCTCTTTCCTGAAATGTCAAACGACTGTGGGTGGAACTATATTTTATTATTTTTTTTTTAATTTGCATTATTTAGGATGTGAGTGTTTCAACTCCTGAATATGTCCGGCCAATTAAATTACTCCCGATGTCAAATTAAATTGGGGAAGTGTGCAATGCTGTGAGGCCTGGAGGCAAGTAGTGCATTGTGGGTCAAAAAGGGGCGAGTCAGGTTGAAGGTCAAGCAGAGGTTAAGATGGAAGAAGAATCTAATTTATGGTGATTTTTTTTTTTGCTGAAACTTTGCAAAAGTCTCAAAGGTTTGTCTGTTCCATAGACAAATTCGTGCACATGATAACTGTACACTCGTGAGGCCCCCTTCAATGGAGAAACCATTGTGCATGCTAGTGTACAAGGTAACATCCCCATGACGGATTATCTAAACAATACCGGTAGCTAGCACAATGCTTTCGCCACTGAACAGTTTTCAAAACTCCCTCCCCCAAGACAAAACACTGCCTATAACTACACCTGAAATTTTCAATTTGCTGATGCAGTACCAGCATCTTTTAGGAAATGGAGACAAGCAAATTTATCAACAATGATTGCTTTTTAAAATTGCCACACATGCCCTTGAGGTGCTCAACAGAACAATGGAGTACATCAAGAAAAACCCATTTGCTACGTAAAACACTCCCTAGGTGACAGCCCAACACAGTATAGGGGGTAAAAATCCATTTTACTAGTATGCTTTTTGTAGCACGTGGGTGTTACGCATGTTTTACAGAGTTTAAAGGGAATATACAACATTTGCATACAGAAAGACAGTCTGAAGCATCCTGTAAAATCGAGGTCATCTGGTGTGCTGACATTTTCAAGAAAAGTGGTATTTTTGTATCAATTTCCAACGCCGACCAGTGTTGGGAAATTTTTTTTTTTTCAAATACTGCCCCCAAATTACCATATTTAGTTAGTCCTCATTTTGTTTGCAATCGAATACACACCTATGAACGAGTACAAGCCAGCTAGACTGGTTCCCTGACCTTAAAATTCACCGACATTTATAAATTGCTCTGTTTCATCTAAAGTGGGGTCAGGGAACCAGACTACAGGAACATGATTGTTTTTCTCGTTTTTTCCAGCATGTACGAACACAACACTTTAAGCAGGTCAGCGTAACAATATTTGCTATAAAATTCTATCCATTTCTGAAAATTACAGCAAAAGCAAAATGTTGTATATTCCAGGGGCGGATCCAGGATTTGTTTTTTTTGGGGGGGGGTTAGTACCATACTTTCAATGGGGGCGCTGTTCAAATCCCAGGATTATTAGCACTACGGTATGTCACAGAATAATGTACATATACCCCTAACCAAGCTGGCTCTGTATGTATTTTGTGCAAGGCGGACATTATTACTAGCAAGAATAATTTGGGTATCGGAGCAGGGGGGGGGGGTTCTCAAATTTTTTTTGTGAATTTGTATGGACAATTTTTTTGGGGGGACACCAGAGCTGGGTTTCTTTTCTTTTTTTTACCCCCAAACCCGCCCCCCCCCCCCCCCCCTCTTGATCCGCGCCTGTATTCCCTTTAATTCAGCGTGTAATTTGATCGGGCAGGGCGTCAGAATCGATTGTCAGTTTGATTGAGTGCACGGTTGACTGGCTGCGATTCTTATAATGTTTTACACTGGACAGCTGAGAGTAATGTTTCGTTAAAAGCATTATAAAAAAAAATCTAGCCAACATAAATTTGGACGTGGACAATGGAATGGAGTGTACATGTAGCAACTTGTTAGTGCTATTTTCTGGATTTAAAAATTACAAAATTGGAAGCAATTCTCCCTGGCATGTTGTAATTTAGAAGAAAAAAACACAACAATTGTGCAGTTTGAAACAAGAGCAACACCATCAGAAGACAACTGCAGCCTACTTTTATTCAAGGTTCCCAAGACCTACACATCAAAGCAATGTGCATCAGTGTTCTTATTAAGTCAGTCACTTTCAGAGTTGTCTTCATGTCAGTTTACAAGCCAAACACAAGTTAGTCACAAGTCAGTCACAAGTCAACTGACTGACATGCGACAGTCACAAGTCAACTAACTGACTTATGATTGACTTGTGATTGACCTGTGATTGACTTTTGAAATGATGACTAGTGATCGACTTGTGATTGACTTTTGATGACTTGTGATTGACTTGTGACGACTTGGGATTGACATTATGACGACTTGATAACGACCATGATTCTGTCTATCTGAACAGAGGTGTGTACAGCAGACCACTGCATAGGAATCAAGGTGTAAACGTTTCTCTCAGGCAAGAAATTCTGATTGCTCATCAAAACGTGTGAGAAGGTGCATCACCTATGACGGTGCATCACCTGTGAAGGTGCATCACTGTGAAGGATCAACACCTGTATAATGATAATAACTTACTTGATGGCTTCACACATACACAGGCCCATCTCCACACAGTTGCAGGCGTGAGTCGGTCTGGAGATGGGCAGGCCCGACACGCAGTAGTAACAGTCCCCGAGAATCTTGATCCGCATACAATCATATTGCTGCACAGAGAAAAAGGGACAAATGCGAATAAACATGAAAGTCATACGCTAAGTGCATGTTCCACGAGGGTACTGTTTGCCTGCTCTTATTCAGAGCAGGACATTTTGCTTCTCCCACTTCCGAATCTGAAAATGGATGGCTTATTTCTTTCAGCTTTCATACGATAGACAGGATATATTTTGTACAACTGTTGACCTAGGGTAAACATTGCCTGAAAGCTATCCCACAATGCTTCATGTTTCCTTCAAAATATTTTGAAAAGGGATAAGCTAACACCAGAATCATGGGGTAGTGCATATGGAAATGTGTGATTTACAGTAATATACAACAATTTAAAAATCCTAATCAATCACAAGGCCTTGCAAACATTTTTGCTGTTTCCGTAAAAAAATACCTTTCCTTAAAATTAATGCAGCTCTTCCACTCCCTAATTCTCCCTGTACATGTATGCCCCATCCTTCTATTTGACCTTTCCCCCTAATTTGCCGGTGTGTTGTCTTACTTGCAAATAAATATAAATACAATTGGGGAGCTAATCGTCCTCACTCGCAGCAGAAGCTGAATTGCGAAGGATGCAGCCGCTACAACATGGTTGAGCCAAAGGCTTGTAAAGGTGCCTTAGGCAGCTGCCATAGGACCCATGCCTTACCACTGAGCAAAGCCGGATCAAAAGCGTTGATTTTTGAAATGTTCTTGTGATCATAATACAAACTATGGAATACAAAGTATTTATACAGCGCTTTACGAAGAACAGAGCGCTTAACACACATCCTCCACAAAAAAAACAGAAAGAAAAACAGACACAATACAATTACGACTGGACTTGGAACAAGAATGTCTTAAGGAGACGTTAGAATACAGGCAGCGAGACCGCCTCTCTCAGACAAGAAGGAAGCTCATTCCACATGCGAGGGGCGGCCACAACGAAAGAGCTATCTCTGGCCTTCTTCCTACTTCTAGGGACAGAAAGCCGGGTCTGATGAGCGGAGTCGGTGTCTGTAAGCATCAGGAATATTTGAGTGATGTGAATGTAATAGGTCAACCAGATGTGATGGAGCTTGATTGTTGAGAATTTTGTAGACGAGGGTAAAGATTTTGAAGGCTACCTCTGTTTAACAGGGAGCCAATGTAGCTCTGCCAGCACTCAGCAGGCCCTCAGAAGGCTGGTCCCAACCGCATGTCTTTTTGACTTCAGGGATTTTTACTAAATTTTTACTAAAAATTACATGCGTCAGGTCATTCAACTTTGAAGGTACTTCGCTGACGCAGTGTTTAACAAATAGGTATTGTCAGATAATCGAATCTAAAAAAAAAGAAAATTCACCAGTAGTTCTCCTAATTCATGTCCACTCTCACAAATCACGCACCGATCTTCCAAGAGTTTTACTTGGAATGAAACATAATACCCTGAGCCTTTATATGCTTGAGGTCATTCCACCCGTTAAGCAATTTAAATCAGGCTGTCTCGATTATTTCTGTTTATTACATTTTTTCGGATGATTTTATTTTTGGCCTTCATGACGAGACATGATGTGATCCTTTTTTAACTCACGATTCCTCTCGCAGGACACGCAGCAAAGCTTTTGTCGTCGACTCCGCCTAATTGAATTCCACTCTTCACTTACGTGTCATGCCTTCCGGAAAACATGACTTCGGTTTTTCCAAGATTACAATCACTCCCATGGGCTCAAAGCGTGTCTTGCGTTAGGACACATACATGTACTTGTTGACATTCTTGTAAGCTCTTCTTTAATACTGGCGAACCTCATAAGAAGTGCTGTAGTCCAAGTCTCTGTGATGGATCATATGTCATCACATACTCATCACAAGTCGATCAGAAGTCATAACGAATCAATCACAAGTCAATCATAATCCATCACAAGTCCATCACAAGTCATCACAAGTCGATCAGAAGTCATAACAAATCAATCACAAGTCAATCACAATCCATCACAAGTCCATCACAAGTCATCACTAGTCGATCAGAAGTCATAACAAATCAATCACAAGTCCATCACAATCCATCACAAGTCCATCACAAGTCATCACTAGTCGATCAGAAGTCATAACAAATCAATCACAAGTCAATCACAATCCATCACAAGTCCATCACAAGTCATCACAAGTTGAACAGAGGTCATAACAAGTCAATCACAATCCAACACAAGTCCATCACAAGTCATCACAAGTCGATCAGAAGTCATAACAAATCAATAACAAGTCAATCACAAGTCCATCAGAAGTCATAACAAATCAATCACAAGTCAATCACAAGTCCATCACAAGTCCATCACAAGTCATCACAAGTCAATCACAATCCATCTTAAGTCCATTACAATCACAATTCGATCAGAAGTCATAACAAATCAATCACAAGTCCATTACAATTCATCACTAGTCAATCAAAAGTCATAACAATTCAATCACAAGTCCATCACAATCCATCACAAGTCATCACAAGTTAATCAGATGTCATAACAAATCAATCACAAGTCAATCACAATCCATCACAAGTCCATCACAAGTCATCACAAGTCGATCAGGACTCATAACAAATCAATCACAGGTCCATCACAATTCATCACAAGTCAATCACAATTCATCACAACTCAATCACAAATCGGCACAAGCCAATCACAAGTCACCTAGTCCTAAGTCCATCACAAGTCAATCAAAAGTCAATCAGAAGTCATAACAAATCAATCACAATTCATCACAACTCAATCACAAATCGGCACAAGCCAATCGAAGTCATCCAGTCCTGAGTCCATCACAAGTCAATCAAAAGTCATCTCCAGTCCTAGGTCCAGGTCTTCAGCTATTCAAAGGAGCTCCGACAAAGACATTCGTTGTTGTTATTGTTCATCCCCTGAAACCTGTGACTGGAATAATGAATTGACTTGCGATTCACTTGTGACTGGACTTGAAATGTACCAGTGATTCGTCACAAATGTCGTAACTACAAAACTGCTCAAGACTTTGTTAAGAAAGTCTCTATACTCTCCTTAGAAGGTTATCATTGAACTTCAAGCTTGTCACTGACTTGAGGGCACTATGTGTGCTTCATTTGACAGACAGCGACACTACTTGTGCCAGTGTTTCAGTTTGACTCAATGGCGGCGGGACATTTTCTGAAATTGGAGGGTCATATTGTATGTATACATGCACGCCTCTTTAGTGGGGTATCCAAAAGCGGGCGGGCAAATGTCAACCCCCCCCCCCCCAACCTATACTGTACTCTGAACTCTCTGACAAAAATTTCACAGGATGTTGCATGTTTCAGCACAAAAAGCTACATGGCGAGGGTTCAGTTGCTGTCAAGTACAGGAATTAAATTTCCGACAGCTGTTTTCACTAAAACTCATACATGATATCATGTTGCCAAAAAATGTAATAAAGCGTGCCGTTGATTAACATTCACAGTAGCACATATGAACTGACGTCCCTCGCAGGATATTGGCCACAACTTGGAACGGTAAGCGATAAATCGCCGCCGGACGGTTCGTAAGTGACAGCCGTTATGTGTCTAAATTACAAAAAGATTGCCTTTCTATTGATCCATGGACTTCGAAATTTGCTCAGCCATCCAACCCTGACTGCCCTGATGGAGAGAAATAATCAAGAGAAGGGAAAACGAAAAGAGGGGAGAAGTTTGTTGAGGAAAAGCTGAAGAATCTTATTACTCGCTCACGCACACACCTTGGAAGGCGCAACACGGAATAATCAACTTGTCAAATTATCAGAAACTCGCATTGCAAGCAAAAAAAAAAAAGACAAAAAAGAAAAAGCACAAAATCCCCTCCACTAAAAACAAATACATAATTATTTTTTTTAAATTGACAGAAGGTAGTTGAAACACATGCTGTAGAGAGATTATAAATAAGAACATTGGAGGGTATCATATGCATGGCTAGGATGAGTTTCCATAGAAACTGTTAGTTTGCGTTACAAAAAAACCCCCACCAACGGCGATATAGTTGGACAAATCAACCATACAAATGTGATTTATGCGTCGTGACAGCGCAAACACAAACTGCATCCGGCAATTTTCACAGACATTCACTGGATGTGTGATGCCCGGTTGACAGCTTGGGTTCAGACACATGTCAAAATTTCATGTTGTAAAGAAACAGCCTGAGCTGTTTTTCCAAAGTGTTTATGCATGTTAAAGCTACAGTCCATCATTCAAGGGCGGATCCAGAACACAATTTGGGGGGGGGGGCCAAAAAAATTTTTGGTCCCCCCAAAAAATGGGTCAAATTTTTTTTTGGATTCTAGATGCTCTGTGGTGCGATCTGAGGCAATTTCTGACCACTTTAACCAATGTTTTTTTTAGGAAAAGATGGTGGTGTACTCATTGCCTGCCTTTATTGCGATATCACATAAAAAAAAATTAAAAATTGGTTTCGTTTTGCCCTTGCCATCATTCCTACATATCCAAAGAGTAACTGACTAATTACTGTTGAAAAACATACTTTGTTTAAAGATAGTAATGGGACTATTACTCCCTGTGAAATTATTCCTTCTGGCAAGTTGTCGTTTTTGAAGAAAACAATGAAAGTAGGCATTTCCAACGATGCATCTAAAGACGCATTCATGGAAATTTCCATTGCTAGTTCGTTTATCAATTCGGCGAAGTGCGCGCAAGCATTGACACGACGCACTCGTGCGCGCAGTTGCTATAATTCATTGGTGAAAAGCGGGACATCGCGCAGCTGCAATCGGCTGAATGAGAACGTGTCCCGGATGCTGAATTCGGGCGCAATGTAAAACATGACTCGGTAACTTCTGATTTGAAATCGAGATCCTAGAATATTGTTTTTCTCGGAATATACAGCATTCACTGAGCTAAAACTTCATCAGGTTAGTTGTTCAGCACCCTTCTTTAGATTTTGAGCACTTTTATTCCTTCAAATGAACAAAATACACAAATGACATTTAAAGGGAATATACATCATTTGCTTTTGCTGTAATTTTCAGAAATGGATGGAATTGGGGG